AAGATAGTCTTTCCACACATGATGCTGGAGCAATTGATTATCCATATGAATAGACATTTCACTGAAGAGTATACAGATGGCAATTATGAACACATGAAGAGATGTTAACCTGATTGAGAATCATATAAAAACAAATTAAAGCCATAATGAGATATCATTCAAGACTATCCGAATAGGTAAAAAAAAAAAAAAATTTAAATGGTGACAACACCAAATGCTGGCAAGTAGACAGAGTAAATGGTTCACTCATATATTGGTGATGGGAATATAATATCTCTTAGCCAGGCTGGAAAAGAGTTTGTCAGTTTCTTATAAAGCTAAACATGTAATTACCTATGATCCAGCAAATGCGTGGCTGGACATTTATCCTCGGGAAATGAAAACATAGGCTTACTGAAAATCCAAACATGAAGGGTGGGCACGGGGTGCAACTGTTAAGTCACCATTTGGGATGCCTGCATTCCATATTTGGAGTGGCTAGTTTGAGTCCTAGGTACTCTACTTTCAACTCCCGTTCCTGCCAATGCACATTGTGGCAGGCGGCAGATGATGGCCCTTGTAATTGGGTCCCTGTACCCGCATGGGAGAATATGAATGAGTTATGGTCTCCTGACATCTGCCTGGCCCAGCCCTTTATTTTTCAGGCATTTGGAGAATGAACCAGAAAATGGAAGATTCTCTCTCTCTTTCTCTCTCTCTCTCTCTCTCTCTCTCTGTCTCTCATTAAATGAAAATAGGTAAACGTTATTTTTAAAATCTGTACTTGATGTTCATAGCAGCATTATTTGTCATAGGCCAAAACAAGAAACAACCAAAATGTCCTTCAATAGATAAATGGTTAACAAACTGGTAAATCTATATCATGAAGTAAATACTACCCAGAAATAAAAAAAGAGATGAAGTATTTTTGGATACAATAACCTGAATTAATCTCAAGGGAATCATGCTGAATGAAAAAAAAGTTCGTGCAAAAAGGGTCATATATGTATAATTTTATTTATATGATGTATTCAAATGACAAAATGTGAGGGCCAGCGCTGTGGCGTAACAGTTAAAGCTGCCGCTTCCAGTGCTGGCATCCCATGTGGACGCCGGTTTGAGTCCCAGCTGCTCCACTTCCGATCTAGCTCTCTGCTATGAGCTGGGAAAGCAGTAGAAGATGGCCCAAGTCCTTGGGCCCCTGCACCCACGTGGGAGACCCTGAAGAAGCTCCTGACTCCTGGCTTCAGATCAGTGCAGCTCCAGCCGTTGCAGCCAAATGGGAAGTGAACCATCAGATGGAAGACCTCTCTCTCTCTCTCTCTCTCCCCCCCCTTCCTTCTCTCTCTGTGTAACTCTGACTTTCAAATAAATAAATAAATTTTTTTGAAGATGACAAAAGTGTAGAAATGGAGAATAGGTTACCACAAACTCAGAGGAGACTTTGGTAGGGGGTGAGAGACAGGTTTGTGTACTTTGCTATAAAAAGGCAACAAGAGGAATTCTCACGGTCATAGAAGTTTGCTGTACCTGAGCTGTACCAATTTCCATATCCTAGTTGTGACATCATAGTGTAGTTTTTTAGTATCTTAACATTGGAGAAAGCAGATAGAAGGTACACAGAACCTCTTTGCCTTGTCTCTTAAAACTGCATGTGAATCTACGGTTATCTCAGAAGTGTTTATAGTTTAGTTTAGAAATTGTAAGTTAAAAACCAGGAGATGGCGGTGTCACTAAGAGCAAAAAGAGTACCACCAAATTTTACTCAATGTAATTACTCAATGTAATTGCCACCATTCTTTTCTCAGAATTGTGAAAACAGATGTCTGATTGTTAAGAACGAGAAAATAAATGGGAGGTAAGAAAGAAGACACAGAGTAGAGTGTTCTTTCAATGAGATTAACACAGAGAGATAGATAGCAGTTGGTACAGAATGATGAAAGGTCAAAGAATGTTTTCTAAAGTTGGTAGATATTTGATCATGTGCATTATCTGTTAGGGAAACCAGTAGGGAAGGGCTATTGAAGATTCAGGCAAGAAAGCTGATAATAGAGTAAGCAAAGTTTTAAGGGAGGTGAGAAGTTGGCAGAAAGGGAAGGGGAGATGGAGAAAAGGTAGAGGCATGAGAATATGAACTTGTGAGGTGGAAGGTATGCCATATAATACGAAGTGAGAGCAGTGGAGCTACAGAGATGTTAGACGCAAGGGTTTGAGGGTGACTTCAGTGTCCTCTGGGAAGAGACTAAGTAATGGTGGGAAGTTGGTAGTGGTTGAGTGGAGGGGGCTAGGACTTGAAGGGCATGAGAAGGAAGCAGGGCACACAGGTGGGAGGGAGAAGGAGAAGGAAGTGACCTGGGGCAAGTGCAGGATGGGCCAGCTGCGGGTGTGCATCCCGACTGGGAGAGGCAGCAACCTGGGGGGTGGTGCTCCCTTCTCCCACAGTGGCCATTGCGTGGTTGCAGGATTTAGCTCTTGGGAGGCACCCAAAGCTGAGGTTAAGTGGCGTGGACACGGTATTCAAAGGGCAGGGGGATGAAGATGCCCTCAGTGCTAAATAAATGTACCCCAAGACCCTGGCTGGATAAAGAAAGCAGTGGGGAGAAAAGACTGAGATGGGGACACTGGACTCCTCAGAGAGGCCAAGCGTGGATCCTGGGGTGCCAGCCTCTGCCAGGGGACGTGGGTGTCAGCGGGACATCGAACTCGAACCTTTGAGAGTAGAGCTGTATGCAGTGAGGCCAAGCGGCTGGAGTGTTTGCAGGTGCGAAGTAATCGTAGGTCAGAAAGGTGTGAGGTCAGGTGCATGGGTGGGTCTTCCACGTGGGTGCTGTTGAGGGCACCCAGGATGAGTACAGGACGTGGAGTGTCAGGGAACCTGTGAGCCAGGCCTCAGAGCAAGGGGAGGGGTAAAGATAATGCCTGCATCTCAAACACTCTCTACTTGCAAGAAGGCCAGAAACTGAACACAATATTTTGAAACAATCTGCTTTCCTGTTTGTCATCTAGCTGATTTGTCGGTTTTTAAGCTGAGCGGGAAAAGTGTTCCCTGAACTGTTCATGGGATATATTGTACTACTTTGGCCACACAAGGTCCTGGAATTGTGCTCAGAATGATGGAACAAGGATATAAGCCTCAGCCA